AGGGTATAAGAATCCGCTCTATCGCCAGGGATCACCCGGCGCCCCGTTAAGAAACAGCCAAGTTCAGCTAGTCTTGACCCCTCTCTGATTCAATGGCTCGTTTTCTCCTGAGACTTAAACCCAACCCACCATTTTCTACTTTTGCGCTGCAGCGCCATACATCCCTCACATCGGTTGCGAGAATGTCTACATCATCGAAATCTTCCAAGTTCAGTCATCTTCCTCGGGCCTCGTCTGGGCCTTTGGTGTGCCCTTTTGAGGTACGGTCTCTTGAGAGAGTTATGGGTGTTATATTGTTGACGCAGATGTAGGGGAGAGATGCTCTGCAGTCATGCCAGTTCAATAAAGGCTCGGCGTTCACGGAGGAGGAGCGCAGAACATTCAAACTTCATGGTCTGCTTCCTCCCAATATCCAGACCCTCGAGGAGCAGGTTCAGCGGGCGTACGAGCAATATAGCAGTCGAGATGATGATCTAGCCAAGAACACGTTCATGGCTAGTATGAAGGCACAGAATGAGGTTCTATACTACAAGGTAACACACATATTGACCTCCCGCGTGTGTTAAGGCAATCGAAGACGACCAGTCAACTAACGTATGTTGAAGTTGATTGATACTCATCTCAAGGAGATGCTCAGCATAATCTACACTCCCACTGAAGGCGATGCAATTCAGAACTATTCTCGACTGTTCCGGAAGCCAGAGGGCTGCTTTCTGAACATCAGGGACCAAGACAGGATTGACGAATGCCTTTCCAACTTCAGTCGTGGCGAGGAGGTCGACTATATAGTCGTCAGTGATGGCGAGGAGGTAACTTGGCTATCAGCATGCACTCCATGTACGACATGTCTAACCAGTCACAGATATTAGGAATCGGTGACCAAGGCGTAGGCGCCATCTTGATCTCGGTTGCCAAATTAGCCCTTACCACATTGTGTGCTGGGATACATCCGAGTCGGCAATTGCCGGTGGTCCTAGACTGTGGTACAGATGTATGGCAGAAACAAGAATGAATAAGGCAGGTGCTAATTTTGATTACAGAATGAATCACTTCTCAAAGACGAGCTATACCTGGGCCTGCGACAGTCGCGTGTTAGAGGCGAGGAATATGACCAGTTCGTGGAGAAGTTTGTGGAAACGGCTCGAAAGAGGTTCCCCCGTGCATATATACACTTGTAAGTGGTCAAAGTTCCATAGGATCTCCCACAGCCATCCATCTTGAGCTTGATTGACGTTATTTAGCGAGGACTTTGGCCTTCATAACGCCAAGAGGATCTTGGATAAATACAAATCGCGTATTCCATGCTTCAATGACGATATTCAGGGAACTGGGTGTGTCACTCTGGCTGCCCTGTTATCCGGATTCCATGTGGGTGGTATCAAGTTAGAGGATGCTCGTGTCGTCGTCTTCGGATCTGGATCCGCGGGCACTGGCATCGCGGAGCAGCTCGCCGATACCATCGCGACTGAAACACACAAATCTAAAGAAGAAGCCTCAAAGCAGATATGGTATGGAAATGCATCGGCTTGTGGAGTTCCTTCGACCCTACATTTACTGATTTCCTGAATCTAGGTGTCTCGACAAGCCGGGTCTTCTGGTCAAATCTCTTGGAGATCAGCTGACGCCAGCCCAAGTACCCTTTGCGCGAGACGACAAAGAGTGGCCTGATGCAGATTCGCGCGATCTGCTTTCGGTAGTGAAGAAGGTGAAGCCGCATGCTTTGATTGGGACATCAACCAAACCAAACTCTTTCACCGAGGACGTGATCCGGGAAATGGCGAAGCACGTCGACAAGCCAATTATATTTCCCCTCAGTAACCCGACTCGACTGCACGAGGCACAGCCTGAGGACATCAATCGTTGGACTGATGGCCGAGCTTTGATAGCCACCGGCAGTCCTTTCCCACCCGTCGATCGCAATGGGGGGAAGTATGAGATAGGTATGTGCATCTCCCACTACATAGCGAAGACGGAATCATCCCAGCTGATGCCTGGTTCCCTTGATGTTCGCAGCGGAATGTAACAACTCGACATGCTTTCCCGGAATCGGGTTGGGCGCAGTTCTGTCGCGAACACGAACGTTGTCCAACAAGATGCTTGTGGGTGCAGTCAAGGCATTGGCAGCGCGGTCGCCGGCACTGCAGGATCCCGACGGACCACTTCTACCTGACGTCAAGGATGTACGGGAGCTTAGCGTCGACATCGCCAAAGCAATTATTAAGACGGCGGTCGAAGAAGGGCATGCTCAAGAGGAGGGAATTCCCGCGAATGAAGATGAGTTAGAAGAGTGGATTCGGGCACAGATGTGGGAACCCGTGTACAGGCCCCTTGTGAAGCCACCACCACCACCACAACAACAACAATGAGGACAGGTAATTTTCCAGGAGGGGGCTGTGCACCCCAAGCCGAGCCAGGCTCGGTTGTTCGGCACCAGGCGGAGTTGACGATGAGGCTCTGTCGGAGGTCACCAGATAATTCAATAGTGGATGCATACCAAATCTTGTTGAAAGGCATCAGCATCACAGGATGACCTCTTAGACCCCAGATGATGATTGAATGAATTCAGCCATACGCCACTAGGTGGCGAGGACGAGGCCAAGAAACTAAGCTGCTCGTGTTCAATAAGGCTGTACTAGGAAGGCAGATAGATGATAGGAAAGTAAATGCAAGTACTGCTGAGTAAGGAAGGCTAGTTATCAACTCAACTACTGAGTTATCCATCGTAGGATCCGAGGAGACAACTAACTAGTCAATACTGTCGAAAGGGTTCGGTAGCATTGCCACTCTGAGGCGCAGAGATAGTGGACCCAGGGATCTTACTTTGTATTACCTTCTACTCAGCCACATGTTACCACGCATCTGAAGATATGCAGGGTCCATTTGATGCCATCCCTCCTCTATTCTCATTACAGCAGAATTCCGAACTCCTACCCTTGTGTTGTGGAGATCAACCCAACGGGGCTGCATGCATAGCGGAAGCTTAATCCTTGGTGGGGAGTTGGTGCTCGGCAAGTCTCCTTTCAATCAGCACAAAACTCTCAGTCTCAATGCTGCTGCGCCTTTGTCCTTCTCAAACTCTTACTTAGAAAGAACCTCTTTATCATATATTAAATCACCGCTCTTCCACCTTGTTCTGCTCTGACGCTTGGATTATTTATTCACCTTCTGCAGCACCAAGCAGACAGTCGTTACGATAGTCACTGGACCTCGGTTATTGATCTTCTGCAGTGCACCAACTTGCAGCTTGTGTTACTTTGACGAGCACCTTGCATGGTTGTGTTGGCGTGCAACAAAGATTCTTCTTACTTCACTTACCACCGCACTATCCAATTTCATCTGTGATGAAGATATTATCAGTTGCCACTGCGCTGGCCCTCTGTCTCATCACCCTTGTCACCGCACTCAGCATTCCGCCTGCAGCCCGAGATGCAACTCTCTCCGCAGATTCTTCATCATTGTTGGATCTAGTTAAGCGGCGTGGGGGCGGTGGCGGGGGAGGGCGCAGTGGAGGAGGAAGTGGTGGTCGAAGTGGTAGTGGAGGGAGCAGCAGTAGTAGCAGCAGTGGACGCACAGGGAACAGCGGAAGTAGTGGAAGTAGCTCGAGAACCAGGTGAGTAAACGTCAGTCGATTGGAGAGAGAAGACGTCGTGGCTAACAAGCTCCGCCAGCTCTTCAAGCAATGTCGGGGGCACATCCCGCAGTGGTTCTGGAACCCGTCCGGCGTATGGAGGTGGCTACTACTACGCAGGCGGCGCCACTGCCCCTTATACAGCAGGGGCACGATCACGTTTGGGGGTGACACCTTTTCTCTTGCCAGCGGCCATTGTCCCTCTTTACTTCCCAGGCCTTTGGTTATATGGGGCATACGTCTACCCTTACAGCTATCACTACCACTATATGAACGATACCTCGCATAAACACGAGTCGTTACCCGTGAACTGTATTTGCCAACAGTACTTGGAATGTGGATGCGATGAAAATAGTAACAGCACTTACTATGAGTCCTTATTCAACGGAACGCAACCAAGGAATACGAGCGTGGCCAAGGTGGTTGAAGTGAACGGCACTGAATCAATCTATATCAACGGCACCCTGGCCAACGGGACGACTGCCGCCGATTCGGCTGCAACTCACTATGGTGTTCATGGATCTGGATATTGGATGATGGTGGCCGTGGTGGTGGGCATTGTATGGACGTAGTGTGTCCTGCTCTTACCAGAGACGAGTGAGGTGCCCCCAACCGACCACATCATTCTAACCTTTATTATGTTATGCCTTCATTGGACTGCGCTCTATTCACCACTACAATAGTTTTAGACGATCCGACAGCAGAAGATACCCATGTGCTTGGCGTTGGAGTTAGAAGAACGGCTATTAATATCATGTTGTCTCATTCCATTCCATGTTGATTTTCTTGGTGTTCGGCTTTGCAGAGCCCAAAGACGGACTCCACTTGCAACAGATTAATTAAATTGTGTTTCCCTTGAACCCCCACTCTCGATCCTGCACTCATCATCCCTAAGAATCGCTTCATCCATGTCGGTCTCGATCTATTGCCACGAAAGCACCTGATGATCTTGCCTTTCCCACGGGTCAAGGGATGAGCTTAAAGGTTAATTACGCAGAACCGTTGCAGCCTCTCCACCGGGATCGTCATCTCAGCCATGCATATACATCGCCATCCTGATTGAGCTGGCCACGTCTCAAGGGCCTCCCGCAACAAGGGTCTAGAAGCTCGTCTTCAAGGCCCAGATATGCAATCTTTTCACGCCTCATTCGGCCACCCAATAATCTGGACGTGTCTCCCTGCTGACCGGATCCACTGGCGATGACCCTCCCTCCAAAGTACGTAGCAAAAGTGGGCACGGCAGGCTGCCCCATCAGACATCTGTCAGATCTGACTCCTCCTTTCTTCCCCTTGGCAGCTCCATTGTCTTTCACTTCAGCCCGTCTGTCTTTCCCTCTCTCCCCCCTATTCTTCTTCTTCGCACCTTCTTCCTGAGCATTTCTAACTGGAGTTCACCAGCTGCGCTGTCGCTCCTTCTTCATACATACGCAAACCACCAGAGCTGCCACTCCTTCCAGCTCCATTCGCTCTTTAGTCTTCTTCAAAAGCATCGGCTACTAGCTGTCGTCTCTACCAAGGTTCCATAGAGCGCCAGTGCTTTCCAACGCTATATCAACATCAACATCAATACTTTAAGCCAGGTTTCCAAGTGCATACTCCAAGTCTGCGTGGCATATCGATCCCACTCCGCGTTCTGATTCGCAAACCATATACATACGCAGCCAATAAGATGTATCTCTCCAAGGTCCTTCTCGTTACCTGTGCGGCCTTCGCCCCGTTCGCCTCTGCTGCGGTGCAGGCTACACCTACAGATACACCTGTGCCCGTCTCAAGCACGCATGTCGCATCCACGCCGCTGGCACCAACTCCGACCTCCATTTCGTCCAGCCCCCTTCATACAGCCAGCAGCAGTGTTGTCATCATCAGCAGCAGTAGCAGTGCCAGATTCCATCCCAGCTCTTCCGCTTCGCCAAGTCATATGGCAAGTTCTAGCCGTCGTGTGTCTAGCTCCGCCATTTCCAGCTCCGCCATTGCCAGCTCCTCAGCTTCTTTCACCAGGTCATACATCACCAAGGCATCAGCTCGCCCGACCACCACGACATCGACCGATGCGGACTCAAAGTCGAAGTCAAACTCTGGTTCGGACTCGGAATCCGCCACTGCGGCTGCAGCATCTGCTACTCACTCGGGCGCCGCCGCTCCGGTCGCCCAGCTTTCTGGAGGTATGGCTGCTGGGGTTATCGCTGCTGCAGGATTTATGATGCTCTAAGATACTCTGAGTGGAGTGCTGTCTTATGGTCATGCCTCCCTGTAATACCAGAGTGGCATAGATAGCTGTCTGCGCTAAGTTTGAGAAGCGGGGGTTGATGTGGCAATGAGAAAGGAACTCTTTAACGACAACTCGCTGAGAAGAAGCATCCCATATATGTACTATCGACAACTATGATATTGAGCTCTCCTTTCGGACAGTAGTTCCCTCTCGTGTGTTCTCTTTTTATCGTGTTTTTGATCCATCAAGCCTTGCATGTGTCCATTTGACGGGTCGGCAGCATTTGCTCATCTGTCTGATTTGTGACATTAGTACCTTGCACATTCTTTATTTCCAAATTCATGCAAATGCTTATAATTGACTATATTTTCCTACCTCTCTCTTATCTTTTCCTTCTTCCCCTTACTGGAATGCACATAAGTATCTCGGTAATTTTGCTTCTTCCAGCTCTCTGTGAGGCTTCAGTCTGCAATGACGTAGCGAAGTAGGAACTCAACAATCCGTGGGCAACGTTGAGTCTTGCCTCAATTCAGCGATGTTTGCTTGATCCATCATTGAGGCTGGGCTTATCTATTCTCTTCCCAGGTTGCACCACCCTGCACTTCGTCTATGCGCTGTCTTACCCTGTAGAACTTTTTTTTTTATTCCCTGGTATTATTCCTGCTGCTCCGTTACTCGTCCGAAGCAGGATCAGAAGCGCCCATATAGCAAACGTGAAGAGTACAAGTGAAGAGGGAGACACTGCTGGGCACTGTCGTAGACCTCCCTTCCTTTAACTCGACCAAGGCCAGCATGCTTTACATAATATCTAGGAATGTACACAGCAATCCAAAGAGGGAGTGAGATTGACAGGTTACAATCGCATCAGTGCGACCGATACCTGATTCATATGAACGAAGACAAGACACGAAATGCAGCTGGGATAATATACAGGGAAGTAATAATGGAAGATGCAGGGTAGAGGACACACACACAGAGAGAGGGGGGGGGGGTAAAGAGGGGATAGTTATGAAATATTGCGTTACATCAAGAGCAGGCAAACCCTCCGGACTTAACTATGAATTCTTGAATGTCGCCTCGTACCTCTTTCCTCTGAAAGCCCAGATACCCCAGTTACCGCAGGACACGTCATGGGGATCCAGATCGTTGAGATCCCAGCGCAAACTGCGGAAAACGTTCTCACCGGGTTCGAGCAGAATGTCGAATTCACCGGCACATTTCTCGTTGACCCAGTTGATGTCACGTTCCATATCCCACTGCGTGTAGCCCGTGCTGATGATGGGGACCTTGGTCTCGAGGAGCTGCGGGAGCGTTTCCTCCCATTCGTGGGAGCTGGCCGGGTGTCCCAGACCCGGGTGGAAGAGCATAAAGCAGTCCAGATAGGGATCGAAGGGCTGGAAGTATTGCGCTTTGTACATTGTGTGGAAGTAGTCAACGTACGTTGTAATCTTGAACTGTCCTCCAAGTCTGTCCTCCACAATACCACCGAAGGGATTCTCGGACGTGCGCTCGGGTAGTGGGAATTCATCATCCCGGTTGGCCATACTCTCTGGTCCGATGAAGATCAAATGGATAAGGGAACGCGGGAAAATGTAGCTAAGTTGAAGCCACACTTCGCGCGGCAACGACGACTCGGCGCGAGCTCCCAGAATGAAAATGCGCACGGGAGGAGCCTTGAGTCGTAGTCCTTGGATGTCGACGCCCTCGCCGGTCTTGGGAGGGTGAAGGGTGTACCGGAGCGCTAAATAAAGCCAATAGGTTAGCTGACGAACCTATAATTCGAGAGAGAGAAAACTTGTAACTTACCGCTGACACTCTTGAGACCCTCCACGGTAAGCCTGCCATCTTTCCGGACATTGTAAGGGCTCAGCTCATGCAAAACACTTCCAATTGTGAGAGGATAGGTGAGCATTCTCGTTACTTGTCGCATGCTTCGATCATCGTTGATCGCCTCGAATTCTCGTGTGTACAGGAAAGTGTCCCAATTGGTCATGTTGATGACAAAGTTATCGTCCTGCAGTCCGGGGTACGAGAACTCCGGGAAAAACCGTCCGGAGTGTAGATCATGGTCGTCTTCATTGATCTGTCGAATTGTCTCACAAATCTCCAAATGGGCCTCGAAATCATCCATCCAATGGCCCTCGGAGCAGTAAATCGGAACACCGCAGTCGGGACATTCGAAATGAGAGTGCGCAGGCGGCAGGCTCTCCGAGGTCACCTGGCTCTTGCGCGACTCGGGATCGTGGGGGGAGAGGGGCAAACGAGTCTGCTGATGGCTCGGATGGGGGCAAAAGGCGTTCTGCTTGATAAAAGCCGCACGCTGTCGGATTGCAGCTGCTGGAGACTGGGAGAAGGAGTGAAACAAATTGTTCGGCTTCAGAAGTACCCGGGCCTCTGGCGAGGCGGCAGATGTGGCAGATGTGGCCTTCTGCACCATCGACTTGACATTCTGCGATACAATTGAGGAGGCCGATAAATTGGACGATAGACTATTCTGTCGGACTGGGGCTTGTATAGGCCTGGACTTGAAGGAAGCACTGCTCCGAGAGCTCAAGCTCCGCACGCATGAAGCGGGAAAGCCGTATCCCCCTCGCCTTGGACTGGCGACATGATGCCAGCGAGCCACAGAGTTCTGGGCAACAGCCCTTCGCCGGAGCACCTGCAGACAGCGCCCACACGTATATTCGCCGGTCATTGTGGGTGCAACGCGACGCTTGAACAGGACTCTTGCAGCAGAAAGTGGCTTGATTCTCCCACGCGGCGGCGGTCCTTTTCGCCCGCGTGCACGTGATTGCACCCGGCCAGTCCCCAATATTACTACCTTAGTTACGACGAAGGAGTAAGACTAAAACATAAACCTGAATGATAGTAAAGGCACGGATCCATTGGGTTCTAATTACATAGGTAGAGACAGTCCGTTTGCGAACCCCAAGTCAAAAAGTACCATGTTAGAAGATGTCCTCGCAGGCGCTCCAGTCGCCCCTCTCGCGACTCGTCCAGTATTGTCCGTTGTGTGCCCAATACTCTTCACCGGTGACCGGGCACTTGGCCCTACTGAACCATTGGGGCTTGTACTCCTCGCCTTTCGTCTCTCTTTCTCTCCGCTTGGCGCGCTGCTTCTCCTCCACTCGATGTTTCTCCGTGGCGGCTAAATCATACTCACCCTCCTCCATCGCACGCTGATCGGGTCGAAGTCGTGTGTCGGTAGGTGGGAGACACTCCTTGAGCCCTTCGGGCAAAGCGTTCAGAGTGATGACGAATGGTGTGAGGTTGAATGGAATTCCGCTCGGCCGATCATGGCTTTGCCAGACCAGGAACGTCTTGGCCGATTCAGGATCCTGGCCGGAAACTGTCGCCTCAAACCCTGGGGTATGGCGCGCGTAGATCTTATCGTTCCATCGGCCACCAATACTCCACTTGGGCGACCCATCCCGATCCACGACCTTACCTGTCACCTGATACGCGGACGAAGCCTTCCAGCCCCTTGGTTTGAAATCCAGATAGCAAACTTCGCCTGTGGTCCAGTTCTTGATTTCCATCAGGCCATAGTTGTCCACTGTGGGGCTACCGGTGATGATGCCAATAACGGAAGATGTGACCTTCTTCCAAGTATACAGCTCCTCCCCTCCCGATGCTGGCCGTAGCTTCAAAAACCATGTCCCTAACAGGTTAATGTCGAACGACTTTCCGTAAAACTTGGACTTCAGAGCGGACTCGCCCTAAGAGAAAAAACGTCAGCGTCAATCATATGTCCAGAGGGACGCACGCATATAAGACTTACATAGTAGTCCCACTTTGGCGACTCGGCCCAAGCAGCACCAATCGGGGGATGGTGGCTGACTTGTTCGACAAAGAACCGATATCCTTTGTCCGGCCGGACATATTCGAAAGTCTCCCCAAGAAGAGGATTAAACGGTTTAGCAACACGGCCAATCGTAGAAGCATATTCACTTGCAGCATACGCAGCGACATACACCAGACGCTCCATAGAATCGGGTCGGTCCGCTGCAACATCAAGTAGATCTGCGTATTCCAAGTCCTCGGCCACGCGTTGAAGCAGGGATGTAGGCTCATTGAAGGATACCGGGAGAGTCATCTTCGTCATATCCTTCCCAATCATTGACTTCAAGATCCCCTAGAAACAAAAACATGTCAGCAGCTACACACATTTTCAATGGCCAAAAGGCGTGATAACATACCCAGAGCGAAATCTTCGGTCTATTGTCATAGTCCATCTTCAATCTCTGCCGGATGGGTTCTTCATATCCTTTGAACGAAGGCACAATTTCAGATCTCTTCGCGGTTCGGAGCTCATTGGTCTCCTCCAGAGGCTTCTGTTCGCCATCCTCCGAGCCAGCAAGTTTCTCCACCTCAATTTCTCCGGAATCAATGGCATCGAAGAATTCGTCTTCATCCTCAGACTCCGACCCATAGAGATTGCTGATATTGGACATAGCTGACTTCCTACGAGGAAGGGTACCTCTAAGTTCTCGATCTTCGAACTCTGGCGAGACTTCTGCTGGCTCCGGCTCTTGAGCCTCGTGTTCGACATCGGCAGCGTCTCCACTGGCAACCTGCGCGCGCGACGGAGCTTTACTGACTGCACGGCTCGTGGCTGTTGACTCCAACGCCTCCTTCAAAGCCCGCTTGGTACGCTTACGTTTTTCCTCGGACTCGCCCATTCGTGACTGGAGCTCCTCATGTTCCTGAGCGATCCTTGCCATGCTTTCCTCCCACATCTTGCGCAAGTATGCCTCCCTATTCAAGCGATACTGCCAATACGCATCACGATCCCGGGAAATCTTCAAAAGGCTCTGCACTAAGCCCTGTAAACTACTCACAGCTGCTTCATAAGCAACTAAAGCCTGATCGACCGCTGGATCGGATAGTGATGTGGCAGGATTCTTTGACTTTTCCGCTTGCAGCGAAGACGCGACATTGGCAAGGATGTCAAGCTGGAGTTTCGTTGACTGGGCAGTGATGTTCAAAGCATCTTTGTCTGTGGGCTGCATATCATGACTGGACGCATAGTCACCTTCCTCTTCGTCATCACCGTCAATATCTGGCGCCGAGGTGACATGGCTTAACACCCGATTGACTTCATTTGGTGCAGCGGCGTGCTCCATTGACCCGTACAAGGAGCCTTCCTCGTCTTCGGGCGCGCTTCCTGCGGTTGTGTGGGACGCGTACGTGCTGAGCCGTGTGCCACTGCTACTGGGTATATTGATGGAAGGGGGTGCAAGGCTCTTCACGTTGGATCTTGGAACAGCTGAACTTGGAGAGTCGGATATGGTCTCGGACAGTCGGCCTTCCACTTGCTCAATCTTAGCCTGGCGAAGTACTTCCGCATGTTTCGATTGGCGCTTCTCTTCCTCCTTCGCCTCATCCTTGGCCCATTGTATGGCATTGTTCAGAGTCCAGAACCAACGCTTTGCCTCGACAACGTGATTCGCTTTGAGATGATATTTGACGGATGACTTTCCATGGATCTCGAAGCGGGTCTTGTCCTGGGCATCCATATTGAGCCTAGCAATTTTCATATTGATGGCTCCTCGGCAGGCGGAGCCCGCATCATCTGCAAGAGGAAACCAGTCAGCTATGGCTAAGAAACAACTATACAGACCGGCAAGCATCATACCTTGGTGTTTATAATAGCTCAGCACACCATCTTCTAGAACGAACCATCGCAATTTATAGCCACTTGTATAATTAGTCCATTTCTTCAGATAACCCCTCATTTCACGAGCTTCCTTGCCAGCAAAAGGCGCCTCGCTACCGCCTGAGCGGCTAGGCACACCTTGAGCTGCGCTGGTGCCGAGAATCGCTTTTTCCTGTATGCCACGTTGTGCAATGACTGCTGCTGGAGATTTCTTGACGATCGCACGGGTCTTGTCATCTTTAGTAACATCCTGAGGCAATTTCCCCTTCTTGTCACGACGGAAGGGATCCGCTCCATGCATCAATAGGATCTGAATCAGTTGTGTGTCCTTTTTCCTTGCCCCCTCATGCAACAACGTGCCCCCAGACTGGGCAGTGGCAGGATCCGTTACCAAATCTAAACTGTTGACATCGATGCTGCCCTCTACACGGGGCTCTTCGAGCGCCTTCTCTAATTTTTCGTATTCTCCTTGAGAGACGAGCGCTTGGATCTCTTGGGTCTTGACTTCAATGAACAGTGAGCGAGCTAGCTGAAGTTGCTGGAAGATTTCTGGGGTGCGCGCAATATCAAGAGCTGTTTGGCCGTTGTAATTGATGATCGAATCGTTAATAGAGGGTTGGTTTAGCAGTTCGCGAATCACAGGACCTCGTCCAAGCTGAGCGGCCAAATGAAGAGGTGTATTGCCCTCCCGATCACGCGCGTTTATGTCAAGGTCCTGGCTGGCGGACAGCACGAAATCGACAACTTGCGGCTCAGCGCATTGAATCGCAAGGTGGAGAATAGTTGTCCCAGAAAGGGTATTTGCTCCCTGCTGCTCCTTAGTCTCTCTGATGGCTTTCGAGATCGCATTCGTGTCGCCGCTCCGTAAGATCTCGAATAGACGAAAAGTCCGGACTGACTGATCTAAAGACATGCTACTGGTCTCGGCATGTGATATGGAGGGTAGCTTCTCAATGTTATCACCGCTTCTGTGAGGGCCCGCGGGCTCTTGTGGCGGTTCAGCAGACATGGGACGTAGGTTTGGCTCTTGAGGGCGTGTACTTCGGCGGCTGGAGCTTCGGGTAGCTGGAACTCCAGATATGGATGGAGTACTATTGGCAAGGGAAGACGTGGCGGATTCGGAGGAGCCACTATCGCGAACGACCGGCTCTTCACGGTTATCCTTCGACCTATCGCGGTGTAAAAGCGCCAGTGCCAGGGAGCTTCGAGACCGTTTGTGTCTGCGAAACAGTATGTTATGTTAGCGAGCGAAGCGCCCAAATCGCGGGGCAACCCCAGGTCTCAGGTTGGGCAAGAGAGCTCCCTATGTTCTGGTCGGAGGTTGAATCCAAAAACAAACTAGCGAATGCTTATGGTTCATCCCAGGACCCACACACAAGTGAGATAGCTGAAGGGAAGATGGGTATGGCTTGCAGTGATTCAACCACGAGGTCCCGGGGAACCGAAGCAGCAGAGAGAGTTTACTCACCCTTCGCCCCTTTCCGTCATCTCTTGCTGGCCTCCAACACTTGTCTAAATCCGGAACTGGCAGAGGTAGACCGGATGATTTCTAACTGCAGGGTACCAGGCAAGCTTTTATAGAAGTAAGTGAAGACTTCTGGACTGGTTGGTGTACAATTTTCGTGGCTAGTTCGCAAGAAATGATGGAGGAGATGGTGATGACGATGTTCTTCCCGCGCGTGGGCCAAGACGGATGGGTTTCACTACCTCCGGAGAACTACGCGCAATGGTCTCAGCAGGCGAAAAGGGGCTCTCTATAGTTACATTGTTCTCTAATCGAACAGAGACAGAAATCTCTGTGGACATATATAGTACAGAAGGTGTGGACCCGACGGCTTGGTTCCAATGAAATGCATTAGAACAGTCACCTTGTCTCTCCACTAACCAGTACAATGACGCTGCCGAGCTGGCGCTTCAAATCTTCCTTGTCGACATCATGGGTATCCTCAACCTCTCCCCACATATCGGTCTGCCACCTGACTTCCAGGCTGGATGCTTCCGCTGCTTCCTCAATGCCAAACCTCTCTCGGCCCGGT